CGACTAATAAGACGGGTTTTGGATTTCATGATCGAATTTTTTGGATATTTACAAAACTGGTTACAACAGTTCACAAATCACTATCTGACACACCGTTATCTTCTTCCAACTGGACACTCCATTGGAACTGTTCTGACTTCCAAATGAAATCCGTTGTACTCCTTCAATTCTGATCTGAACTACGACTCACTGTGCCCTCTTATAAATACTTAGCACAGACCCTGAGTAAAACACCGTCTTCCGATGTCAATAATGTGTATTTATTGGTCCGTTATCTAGCAATGGATGTCCTATTGTTGAGAGCCTACACTTCGGGAATATGTTTACCGAGCCGTTGCCTAGCAATGGACATATGTGTCACATTATTAAAGTATGGATTAAAAGCTGACAGGTGTTAAAAATGAAAGAGCTAAAAACCACTGATATAGCAGTAGGCAATTGTACCGAACTTTGGTGCGGCTCAAATCAACCTATTTCATCAAAATACAATTTCCCACATTACTTACGACATTGCCCTCAGACCTATTTCTCAATCTTCTAAGTTACTAGTTTTCAACAGGTTTATATAAGAATTTTGCAGTTATATACCATTTTCCTCACCTTGGTCACATCTCCCACACATTGCAAATTCCTTGGTTGAATTAGGTACCTAATAATATAATGGACCTACATCCAGACTCAAGTTTACCGAGACGCAGCTAACACCCTTTAAATCATATTTTATATTAATTATAAAAATTACATTAATGATGGAGTGGAGTAACTCCATAGCAGAGAGCCTTCCTTGATAAGTACCTAAAGCGCTGGTAAATATCCAGCTTATATTGGAGTGTACTATAGTCTGAACAGTGACGATAATCAATGTATGCCCTAAATAACAGACCTACTGATCTGTCCGTCTGACAGGTCTTCTTTCAAGCGGTGGAAGAGAATTGTAAGTGAATACATGTTCCTCTTGGAGGGATAATTCTGGAAAAGAAATATGCTAGTCTTGTTATTACGTTCATGGATTCGATTACAAACGAGTTTCTTTGCCTGTTTATTTTCCACATAAGAAAAGCGTCGGGACATTGATGATAATAAATATATTTTCATGGTAACCATGGTAACGAAACGGGTTCTATAGGCCAAAAGAACGTGTGACTCTAGAAATCTGGAGACGTTACAACACGAACAACAAAATATTCTTCTTCAAACGGCAGTTGAGATTCTTATGGAGAGAAGAAGAATATTTAAAAAGGAAAGAGGAAAGGAAGAAGGAAGAAAGAATAATGAAAGAAAGAGAAGGAAAGAAGTCATGGAGCCACAGCCTAGTGCTCATTGTTCTTCTATCAAATTCAGTATTTTTGTCCAAACATAGCTCCATTTCCAGAAATTTAAAACTTATTAAGGTTAGGTATTCTTAACAAAGTTAGATTTTAACAAATTCACGATAAATTTAATCGAAATTTACTTGAATAGTAGTATAATTACCACGCCACTGTATATTAACAAGTTAAGAAAAATTAAATAAAATTATGATATTTGCGCGCCACTGAAATGCTAGCCTGACACTCTTACTAGATAAGAAAGAATCATTGTATCTGCTCGTGCCAGATAACGTAAAATATTTTCACACCTACAGCAAACATTTCTTGTTTTGAAGCGATAACAGGAAATCAACTCAGGCTTAAAATCTCCCAGGGATTCCAATGCCTGTAACGCAAGTCTGGGAAGAGCGCACAGTACTTTAATGAGCTTGAAGTATCGGAGCGTGTATGCGCCCCGTAGCAATCCACTTTGCACCTTCCCACGGGATCGAACATAGGCAAGGTCACTGTTGTAATTACGAGCACAAACTAAATTGTCTTGATTTTGTTTTATACAAGCGAGGAAATCTGCAAAGGGAAGACTGGATTTTGTGGTAGACGTCTTTGGGTTCCTGGAAATTTATGTCCAACCTCGAAAGATTTTAGAGTGCGTGGCTTTTATTGCTTCATCTATATTTATGAGTTTGAACCCACGGAATGAGCGTCGCCGTAAGTGACGGGAAATGAGTATTCCAGTCGGCGAGATACAAATGATTTTGGGCTACAATTTAACTAATTAATCAAACGATAATTTTGTAGTGAAAGAAACAACACAGATCACCATATTGACGGTAAACAATAACTTCATAAACATGAAGAATGCCGTCTTCTGGAATGTGGAGCCGTGTAGATCATGTGTGAACCGACGTTTCGGAGGAACGTATCGCCTCCATCTTCAGGGTAGAAAAATCCGCGAGCTAGGAACCAGCGAGAGCGTGCAGTCTGAAGACTGCTGCCACTTGCTCACTCTGGTTCCTCCTCGCGGATTACGTTTACGTGAACGGACTTTGCCTCACTTATCAGGATAAACTCTGCTAAATAAAACAGCTACCGCTCTCTCTCGTGGGGAAGATCAGTCGTTGTTACGTGATCTTTTGGACGAGGGAGTGCAGTACTTCCTGTCATAATGTGCTGAAGGTTTGAAAATATTGGAGCGCCAGTCCATCAACGGGAACTTGCCGACTAATCCTCACTAATGAAAAGGTAGAAGCGATTTTTAGATGATCAATAAGGGATTAGTTAGTTCGGAAGTACAAGGCAAAACTCCCCAGTTTCGTGAAGTCCTTTCTTTCATGGTAATGCACTAAATTCATAAAGGGATTAGATATGCTTTCCATATTCAAAGATGCACACGGTTGCGTAGTTGGTTGATGCACTATGCTACAAGTCGGAAGGTCGCGGGTTCAAGTCCCGATGAGGTCATTGGATTCTTTCAATTGACCTAATCCTTCCAGGCGCATCATGGCCTTGGGATCGACTCAGCCTCTAACAGAAATAAGTACTAGGAATATTCTTGAGGTTAAAGGGCGGCCTGCGCGTAGGGCTGACAACCTTGCCGCCATCTATGAACCGATTGTCTAGAAAATGTGGGAACCTCAACATCTCATAACCCTATGGGCCTCCACGGCCTGCTACAGGGATACCTTTATCTTACTTACTTCCATAGTCAATTTTAAAATTCTGCATTATGGAAAATATGAAATTGGATAAGTTTATTTACACGTATTTTAGGTTTCAAGAGTACATAATTAACCATGAATCGATTCTGTTCTTCCCCCTTAAGACAGTAGATGTTTTTTATACAAAGTTGAGGCATGGAAAAATACTGTCTTCTGAGCTGTAGCTCCGTGTATCCGGGCTTCTACAGGACTACACGGCGTTACATTCCATAAGATAACGATCTTCATAGTCACCACCATGCTATGGAAAGTGTAGCATATACAATTATCGCACATTATTTTCATACTTAGAAAGGATCGCTTGTGAATTAAAATTCCCTTGACTGAAAAAGAATTGTGGCAAATGAAATTTTACCCAGTCCAAAGTACAACCTTTTGGGGGGAACTACTTTCCATCCTGAATATGAAGGAGCAAATCACTCTGGGAAACTGATGAAAATATATACAATTACATGATTTCATATTCCAGAGGGCAGCCTAGGCTTTCACAGTAGTAAAGACCTCAGATAGAGAACTTCGCCATGCTTATACATCCTCAAAACAGGTTACATTTCTTACTTTTAAAAATCTTAAAGATTATGGGCGACATTTAATAATCTTACATATACATGCAAGAATGAATATTTATTCTCGAAAGTTGAATTGAATCCATCTGCTTTTATTTTTTAATTCGCTTAGTGGGGGGTGGATTCCAACTGGGTCCACTCGGCAGGGCGGCCACTTATTAGCCTGCCGCGGGTGATTATGATGATGGAAAATTTGGTGGAATAAAGATTGGCAGGTGAACCAAAGTACTCAGAGAAAACTCGCCCCAGCGCTACTTGGTCCACCACAAATCCCACTTGACCAGACCCGGGATCGGCACCCATCTGCTTATGTAAGATCCAAGTAAGCCTCTAAATCATAATTTTTTGAGAGGTCGATATTCAAATTCCGTTAAGCTTGATGTCCGTACTTAGTTCGTTAATTGGCTAGTAGACAGCTACACTGATTTTTAATCTGAAGGTACAAAAGTCACTTATTCACTTCATTAAAAATTTAGAGACAGAGGAACATCCAGAATTACTGGATTTTTGGACTTTATCCATTGTGCCATTTTCTAGAAAATAGAAAACACAGTGTTTCGGAAACTGGATCTGTTTCCATCCTCAGAGTTTACCTCCATCTCTGAACCAGTAATTGAAGTTAGCTCTTTCTAAGGGACCCAGCTGAGTATGTCTTCTCCCTCTCACCTGAGGACGGATCAGATCCAATTTCCGAAACGTTGCGTTTTCTAGTTTCTAGAATACCGGATGACGGACAAAGTCCAGAAACTTCTTGAGTCTGAATGTTATACACCGTCGTAGAACCAATTAGAATCTTCAGAGGAACAGGCTGAAAAGAGAGAGAGGATCAAAAACGAAGCGCGAAAGATTGTGCTGAGGAGAATATTTACATGTAAGAGATGAATTTTTAAGGAAGAAGAGAATATTTTATGTAAAGGAGCTTCTGAACTTAGTCGGACCATGTAGCATGCATTGGCTAAGCAATCAATATATTCCGTATTTGGCTGGTGAATGCGATTCAGAGACTAAAACATGGATTAAAATTATTAAAATGGAGAATTAGAGGAACAGGATCTGAGAAATTTAAGTGGATTCAATTTATAAAATTCATCGTTATAAACAGGGCTTTTATGGCGACTGTGATGAATTTCACAGTTCTGCAAAACAGGAATCTTTTAAACAGCTGGCCAAATAGGTTCTTACCAAACGCGTTGAAGACGAAAGCTAATTAAACAACGGGGGGACGGAATATTTCTGTGCATTAATGGCTAATTCTAGCGAAGGAGAAATAACTGGTACGAAAGGGTAACTATTCTGAATCTTGGCCCAACCTTTTCTTCGGCACATCCTAAGAGGTCGTCAGAGAACCTTCAGTAGTATCTGGACTATGATAAAAGGAGTACATGAAGAGTTTGCGAGGTACTTACCCATGAAGTAGTGAATGAAACCCTGCCGATTACTCCTGTACACCAGCACCACACCCTGAGGATCTACGTGGGTGATATACATGGAGGGGCTCTTCATCTTGGGGTAAGTGAAACGCATCTGCAAATGGATGTTGTCTACATTTTGCAGGAAGTCAGAGAAATATCGCCCAGTTGCTTTGATCGTCAGATCGTAACTGAAAGAATATTTATGGATAAGTAAAATTATTTAATAATAATTTGTGACAGTTTATTTCATGGGGATGCAATGCACCCTTCATACATAAGATCATCATACGTCGCTGCTGGCGTCCTGTGTACATAACATTGGCTGCTGTCCACATGAGGTTGTCTGGTTGTCAGACATCTTGTATATATAAGATTCTTTGGTTGCTTGGCGATGTCTGTACGTAAGATTAGTTGTCTGGTTTCCTGTATAGACAAGAATATGTGACTGCTAATCGTCCTGCATACATGATACTGAATGACTGTCAGGCGCCCTTTATATATGCCATTGTCTGGTTTTTAACATTCTGTACGAATAATTATTTTCTTGGTTACAATTATACTGTACACTTGAGACTGTCTGATATCCAGATATCTTTATGCATGAGATTTTTTGCTTGGCGCCCTGTAGACATAAGATTCATTGGCTGTCAATCATTCTGATTATAAGAAAATGTCTGGTTACCAGTCATCAGGTTTCCAGTCGTTCTGTGTCTACTATATTTTATTGTTGCCAATCGCCCTGTTATATAAATTATTATTTGGTTGCCAGGCATCCTATATGCATAAGATTTTCTAGTTTCCAAGGCTTTCCGTGTACATGAAACTACTCCGGAGAACGTGCTTACTAACGTTTAGAATTAATAAAGAGGGCATATAGAGTTATTCAGTTATTTCACAATGTGTGCAAAGCGAATGCAAAAATAAATCCGCTAGTCCTTCTATCCGCAGATTTCATTTTAGAAATTACAGAATATATCTCGTTTAAATTTTTTATGGAAAGTTTTAGACCGAAAGTTATTAATCGATTTGGATTTGGTTATTCTCGGTTGGAATAAGATGCAAATTAAATTTAGTAGATTGAGTGAGAAACTGTTCTTGGTAAAGAAGTCTATACGTATGAGAAGGTATACATGTTGAAGTTACTAAGCTATTCATCTACCAATTTAAGTATACCTAACAATAATATGCTTTTACTTTCACAGTTTACTTACATAATTTTGATTTTACAATTTATGATTTCAATTTGCTTCTGATTCTATCTTTAATATAAGATTGTGTTGAAGAGTGCTATTTTCTGGGATATGACACCATGTAGTTTGTGAATACATTACTGGAATTTCCGGAAAACATTGATGTATTTTACCAGATTACGCAACATTACATCCCAAAAGATGTTACCCTTTATATTTATCGACTAGAGAATCTGCTCATTGAAATTTGGGCTACTGAGTAAGCATGTAAATAAATAGATAACTAAATAATTGTACTGAATTATCATTGTCATTATAATTCTCACAGATCACGTGTGCTCTAATTATAGAGTGGCCTGATATTTTTCCGTACCCAAAGTTGCTAAAGAAGCGCACGAAGCAGCGACCAAAGAACTGCATGAAATGATCTGTGGTTGCGCCTTCTCCTGTGACATTTGCACAAGCTGCCGCGAGGCTCGTCATCACGTGGTCGGGATAGATGTGGTGTGTGTTGAACACGGCGAACTTGCAGTCCGCCTGCTCTCTCACTTGCTGCCATACTTCTTCACCGTACTCCAGCTGCAACAGCGTAAAACGGAACTCAGGTTAGACTTTTCTAGGGGCAGGTGCAGACGGAGCGTCATTGCTCTGCCCATATGCGATTAATTAAGGGAATTACGGGATTGGAGCGTCAGAAAAATTCCGACATTCGTAATAGGTAAAAGGTGAATAACATAACGGAAGGCATAAAATTATATCAAAAGTGCTCGTCAGAGCTCCTGGGAAGGATAGTCAGAAGCCACTTGCTCAAACTAGATTTTTAATCTCATCCTCGGTTACGACTGGTTGCTGGAAGACCCAGGAAAACATGGAAAGAACGAGAACACCTTGCCCTTTAAAGGAACAGGTCTTGAGGCCTAACCCTTCTTTACGTTCACGAAGAAGAAGAAGAAATAAGGAGATAACTTTATTCAATTAGAAATCCAGCTTTATGTAACAATAATTCTACATTTTAAGTCTCAGGTAAAAAGAATTTTACCTATACTACGGCCTTATGTTATTAGCATACATAATTTTTTTTTCAAAGAAGGAAATTGTGGGAAATATTTCTCATGATTACTTTCTTCTTGCATTTTTAAAAAATCTATGCATATTTTATGTGATATTCTAAGCACCCTGTACATTTATGAATGGGCGAATGGAAATAAGATGGGAAGGAAAGGATTTAGGTGGTTTGGATCGGAGGATGATAGAACCTCCTCAGGATCGTCCAATGGCGACCTTTGGCATTAGCGATACTGAAATACTGTACTGAGATACAGCAAGTGGTTACTAATGCAGAGGGCTGCAGGTTATACGAGTAGGCCTGATGTCAGTCTTGCTTTTCGACTGGTGCTAATTCGGCACAGTATGTTGGGGTGACTCCTGAGGTTCAGATATACATCTTTAATTTTAGTGAACTCACAAAATGTGGATATATGTTTCGGGTAATCAAGTACGTATAGAGGAATTGAGAAGAAGGAGGAGTTGTCATGATTGGCTCTCATGAGATGAGCTTCTGGACTGATAGCAAACAGGGTGACATCCTATATATATATACAGAATGTGAATAAAATAATGGAAACACTCAGAAACTGAGGAATAGAGTTTGTTTGCGTTGGTTACATTGAAAGAACTGCAGTTTTGAATGCTCTTCTTCCGTTTGTTTACACTCTGTAGTGCTCGTGTAAGTGCATTAGTGCTTGTGCTGAGTGACAGTCGATTTGAAGGGATCGGAAAATACGAGACTTGTTCGGTTTTGAAAGAGGACAGATTGTTGGCGCCCGTTTAGCTGGAGCATCTGTGTTAAAACCTGCCATATAATTAGGTGCATCGAGAGCGATAATTTTTAAGCTTATGTAGGCATATAAGAACCACAGGAAGGCAGGATCAACGAAGAAGATCAGTGAGCGAAAATCTACATTGACAGAAAGAGATCATCGTACAACGAGAAATATTGTTTCGAGAAATCACAGGACTACTGCAGCACAGGTGACAGCAGAACAGAATATTCATTCTGAGGATACCGTTTCCAGAAAAACTGCCGGAAGTGAACTCCACAAATCCAGTATCCACGGTAGGGCTGTAATTGCTAAACCTCTGATTACTGAAAGTGCTGCTCAGATGCGTAAACGATGATGTCACGACCATAAAACCTGGACATCAGAAACTGGGAACGCGCCTGTGTTATGGTCAGATAAGCCGTCCTTTACACAGTTTCCTACATCAGGAAGAGTTCATGTTTGGAGGAAATATAAGGAAAGCTAAAACCCAGAATTCCTGGTTCCAACAGTGAAACACGGGGGAGATTCTGTGATGGTTGGGGAAGCAATATCCCGGTACGATATTTTCCCGTTACTGCCCTTCATGTCCAAGTTATTACAGGGGAGTACGTGGACAGGTTGGATAATCAGGTGCATCCCGTGATCCACACGTTATTTCCGAACAGCGACACAGTTTTCCAAGACGGCAATATCCACCTTCACACAACTGGAACTATTCACTCATGGTTTGAATAGCATGAGGGTGAACTTCAATATCCTTCCTTGCCAACACAATCACCAGATCTGAACATCATTGAACCATTCTCGTTATCTCTTGAGACTAGAACAAGGAACAGATTCCCACCTCCAACATCCCTAAAGCAATTTGAAGAAGTTCTTCAAGAATAATGGTATAAAATTCCGCTAGAAACTGTTCGAAACTTGTACGAGTCTATTCCAAAGAGGACTGCGGTTGTATTGAAGGCAGAGATGTTTCAGCACCATACGAATATTAATAAAGAAATGATTAACGTATCTGCAGTGTTTCCATTAGTTTGCTTCACTGTTCCATGTGTGTATAAACCGGGTTACTTTTACTCTCTCCGTCTACCGACTCCCATTTTCAAGGTGATTATATCTTTCAAATCTCTTGATTGGATAGTTTTGTCTATTTCGTCAATTTCGCCTGGGATCTCTACGTCATCTCTTCTTTCCTACTGGTTTCATTTCAGCAGTCCCATATGCCTTGCATTATTCAATAGTGTCCATATCACTGAATATATATTATGTTTAAATTCAACGCAGCAATATTTGTGTTATTTATTTATTAAAACTGCAGTTTGGTAATAGTATGTGAGAAATTTGCAGTACCTGAAGATGGCCAATTTTAAGTCGAAATATGTAGTGCGTGCTGTATAAATAAATAAATAATACAAATATTATTGCGTTAATGGTAAAATTATATATGTTCATTTTATATACGCAACAGGATGCAATCCTTAAAAATGTCCATATTACGCTAATTGCTTTTAATCTACATATTATTTCAATTCCTTCAGTCTACAATACACATGAATTGGTAAATATCCCTTCCTATTCTTCTATAGCCTGGACACAAGCATACTTCTCTGAAAGTTACTTTTAAGGACAATTATTTATATACTCCTACATTATGTTTATTAACTTCTTAGACCACCGGTATGTATTATTTGCACATTTTTGCCTGAGAAGCTTATAAAAATGGCCATACTGTGTTTCTGTCATAGCACTATATACTTCTGAGTCGGCTAAGCACCTAACTTACATCCCATCACTACTGATGTCACGGAAAGTGGCGCAATTTATTCGTAAATAGCGCCTTTGTTCCCAGAGTGTGAGCTGGAAAGCGAGATTGTCAAAGCAACAAAGATTCTGGTCACTTGTTACAGAAACTTGATTAATAAGAACGTTAAATTTACACTCGTATAAATACAATGTATGTATTTATATGTATCGTATGTATGCATATAGGTCTGTGTATATATGCACTTAAACCATTACGTAGGTATGCACGTTTAAATGTATTGCCTGTGTGTGTTAAGATATTATGTAATCCCATATATCTGAATAAGTTTAACATAATTATTAATTTAAAACTCCAGTCGTCCATGTAACATGGGAAGGAGAGTTAACCGTAAATGATGAATCGGAAAAGGTTTGGAAAGAGAGACCTTGGAATTACTGGGATTTTGGACTTTATCCGTCTTTCGGTATTCTAAAACTAACGAACACAACGGTTCAGAAACTGGATGCGTTTCCATCCTCAGGTGTGAACATAAGCAGATCCGGTTTCTGAAATATTGAGTTCTTTGATGTTCTTTAGAATACCGGATGATGGAACAAGTCTAAAGAAAACGAGTAATTCAGAGAGAAACTTTTAGAACCAGAGGGGCCTTGGTCTATTTTAAGTTACTATCGAAATATTCGCCTAGACGGACTGAGGAATGTCACGAAAACCCTCGGGACAGCTGGCCTCTGGGACGAGGTTTGAAGCCCGGATCTCCGCAACACGGTATACGAGTAGAAGTAGTCAACATTCGACCACAAAGTTTGAAGCTACAAATATCATCATCGCGATAGTCTACTAGGAATTGTGGGTGATGGTATTTAATACGATATATTGAATGTAGTGTTCATGTTCAGTCTGTAAACGTTGCTGTTTTGCGGACAATACACAGTAATGCCAGATCATAATGTAGTGAGTGCCCGTTCGGAGATCAGCAGTTGCACTTTAAGGAATAACCTTTGATCTTTCCAATCTGGTAGCTGATGACGTCCAATTACAGTGTTTCCAATGCAGCGTCCTTTCTCTGGCCTGCCTGCTCAAATCCCAGCTGCTGTACTGTCTCCTTCCACAGCCTTAACATCCACTGCCACGCACTTCCTTACCATTATAACGCTTCCAGCGGAATGCAGCCCTTTCTCATAAATCACACGCTATGACTACAATATTAACATCAAAAAGTATATAACATTATTAAGTCTCCGTGTTTAGAATATCCCATATGCAAGGGAAAGCTCATAAGTTCCCCTTTTGTTATTGTAGTTCCGTCGACAAACTTGTTTTTGCAGATACATTAAAGATTATTTACTAATTACTACACGTTTCGGCCATATTGGATATCCTCAGGTATATAACTGTTATTTTACTATTTTCCTCTTCGTCTCCTACTCCTCCCTGTAACACACGGTAGCGTAGTTGGTTGAGGTACTATGCTACAATCAGGAAGGTCGCGGGTTCGGATCCAGGTGACGTGGATTTTTTCAACTTACCTAATCCTTCCAGCCGCACTATGGCCCTGGGGTCGACTAAACCTCTAACAGAAATGAGTACCAGGAATCTTCCTGGGGGGTAAAGGGCGGCAGGCGCGTAAGGCTGACAAACTTACCGCCATCTGTGAGCCGACTCTCTGGAGAGAATGTGGGAACCTCGACGTCTCACAACCTTATGGGCCTTCACGAACTGTTACAGGGATAGCTTTGTCCTCCCCACACTCTCCTGTGGTTACACAGTGGGAGTGATTGTTCAGGATTTTAGTTTTTATGTTTGTGTTATGTCTCTTTTATATAAAAATATATTAGGATTAAAATTAAAATTAAAGGTTAAAATACGGAAAGGTGTATTATGGTGTCATGTCTCTTGTATCTCGTTTTTCTCAGCGTTCCTGCTGATGATTATCTTGGATATGAACGTATCCTTAACATGTGTGTCATAGATTTATCGTTTGGGGGGGGGGG